ATAAATTAAGTAAATATAATATCTCATTAAACATGCCAATTTATAAAATAAAAACGTTTTTTTTTGCCAAAAAAACTGCTTTGTTTTTTGATTTTTTTGTTTTTTTTATAAACTACTTTTTTTCTTATTTTAAACACTGAAATAATTTTAAAATTTTGTTTATTAGGTAATATTTATTAAAGGAGAGTTTTCATTCTTTTATTTAACATATGATTTTATTAGTATTGCCTAAAGTTCTTCAAGTATATATATATATATATATATATATATATATATATATATATATATATATATATATATATATATATATATATATATATATATATATATATATATATATATATATCATCACATTAGAATTATAGGGTTCTATCTGCCTTTTTTTATGTTGTGAGAACTTAACTTTCAATATTTATTTAATACATGTTTTACAGCTGTTATTCACTATAACTATAAATTATAAGTTATTTATGTTATCTACATTTCATTATTTAACATATTTTATATTAAACCACTTAAAAAAATGATATATCATATATCATTTTTTAAGTGGTTTGTTTTTATTATTTATTATAATTTAAAACTTTGATTGTTAAATTCTTTCAACATAAAACAAGGCAGATAGAACCCTATAATTCTCATGCAACGATATATATATATATATATATATATATATATATATATATATATATATATATATATATATATATATATATATATAAATATATGTATATATTTGAATATATTATAAATGATATGTTATAAACATGTTATAAATGATATGTTATAAATGTTCACGTTGACACCTTCGGGAACATAAATAAGTTAAGTTTTAGAGTCATCTGAACAAACACCACCCCATACCATCACTTCTATAGAGTGCTGTCTTTTTGGTATAGTCCAAATTTTAAATGGAATTGTTCTTCTAGACTTCCCTAGGACTCTGTTGTTGTATCTGTTGGGCTCAGGCTAAATTGTGAAGATTTTTTGTCACTGTAGACAACTGGAACACTTGGGTAGGTTTTGAACCATTCTAGAAGCTACTTTGCTTTTTTTTGTCATTAAGCTTTTGTAGTCTCACTCAAAAGTTGCCTATTTGACTTTACAAAGCTTTTCATACCTAAGTCTTTATGGATGATTTGTTACAGTGTTCTCCTTGACACACAAGCTACTCTAGCTAAGCTAGATATTAATTGATTTGGATTTCAGTCAACAACATTTCGAAGTTCTTTAGTTCTTCCAAACCTTCTTAGGCCTATCTGCTTTAGTTTGCTATTTCCACCTTTTTCTAGATTTTTGATGAGCCAATAAACATTTGAATTACAAAGCTGTCTTTTCACTGCTTTGCAAATTTTGCTTTTATTTACACCTGCTTTTCACAGTAAAAAAACAAGTTTTTTTAAATTTATTTTTTCCAGGCAATTAATTCAACCCATTTTTTCACTCATTTATAAAAACCTCCAATGTTTTTTATTATTAATCAGTTAAGCCATCATAGATTTTCCCACTAAGTTTGTTTTTCCTTAATTTGCCAACATTTTGAGTGCAACAATTCAAACTGTTATTTTTTTCTATGATAACCTGCGTTTATATATATATATATATATATATATATATATATATATATATATATATATATATATATATATATATATATATATATATATATATATATATATATATATATATATATATGCAAATTTAACAACAACAAAAAAACACCAAAAAAAACATTGTTTTTTCAGTGCTCTTTGAAAATTTTTAACAAACTTTAGGTCAACACTCAAAACTGTATAAAGTAAACTAAAATGCCTAATCTTAACCTGCTATCTTATAAACATGTATAAATCCATTTTTTGCTTTAAAAATACTTTATCTATAACTTTGATTTAGGAACTAACCTTGTAAATTTGAGACTTTGATTCATTAAAAGCATGGGCATTTTTTATAAGGAGAAATATATCTGCCTCCAAGTCATTAATAGTAAGATACTGCTGGGTCTAAACAAAACAAAATATTTAAACAAGTTTTTATAAAACACACAAATTTCAGATAGAATACACCTATTTCAGAGATATCAACAACAAAAAAAAGATAAACGAATTTACTTATATCAAATGTTTAACAATATATCATATGTTTTATATTTTAATCATAAATTTTCTGAAAAAAGATAAAAACTAGTTTTGCATAAAAATGAACTTTTCTTACAAACTCTTACAAAATAAATATACCAAAACAATTGACTAATCTAATATTTTAGAGATATTATTATAAAATAAATATTAATGTAAATATTATTAAATTTTAGAAATTTTTAAATTTGAAAAAAAACTTACTTTGATCTTTTTTTTAATAGTCTGAAAGTCAATGGGTTCACTTATTATGTCATAATACACTGGCAAAGCCTAAAAAACATTTACAATATTTATATTTCTTTATTTAAACAATATTTATAAGTCTTCTATTAAACAATGTTTATAATATTTCAATATAATATTTAATACTTAATTTTGTATTAAAACAAAATAAAGTCAAAGGTTTTATCAGGTCAATCTTTCTTTTTAATAGTTGTGTACCGCTAAGACAAAAATAAATACTTTCTAACTCTCTAAGACAAAATAAATACTTAGTGACTTTCTAAGAAAAAATAAATACTTTGTGACTCTCTAAGACAGAACAAATACTTAGTGACTCTCTAAGACAAAATAAATAGTGACTCTCTCAACCCAAAATCTGACAATTTTTTGTGACAATTTTTTCTTCAGCATTCTCAGCCAACAGAGATTAATTGAAATTTGAACCAAAGTTCTAAAGGTTTCAAGGTTGAAGTAGATTTGAACCAAGCCTAGATTTCAATTTTAGTTTTTTTGATGAATATTTATGTCCATGTACCCTCAATTTTTAGGATATTAGTGTAATTAAAAAGCCTTTTCCTATTGTTACTAAATAATGAAAGTATTTTTTGAGGGCATTCGTCACGCCAGCTACAAACCTTTGACCAGATTAAAAATATTTACAGACAATATATATGAAATGAAAGAGCTTTTAACAATGAAATTGCAACTAAATCCATCCTAAATCTGCTGAAACCCTAGAATTTACTCTTTCAATTAGTTGCGTTTGATAAAAGTTAAAATCATTTTTTTTTCTGTTGTTGTTGTAGTTTTTGCATTTTTTTTCTCCTGTGTTTTTTTGAAAAATCAAATTGATTAATAAAATCAGCTGCAGAAATAGTGAAGAGTGTCGGAACAAACATTTTTGTAATATTTTGAGAAACTGATAGTCTATTTTTGATAAAGAAAATTTATATTCCTTTCAAATAATTTAACAATGGTTTTGAAAAAGTTGATAGTAAACAAAGAAAATGTATTTTGTAAGTGAGAAAATTTATTTTAGACAAGTGGCTTAAAGATCATAATGTTTCAATTAATTTCTAAGCAAAAAGGTATGAAATTCAAAAGAAAACTGTCAGTTCAATCATCAAAACATGAAATGAAAGTTGTGGATCAGAACGAAAGCGAAGAAACTAGGAAAGGTTAAATCATAAAGTGAAGGTTGTAGAAAGAAATACAAGAAACCAGGAAAGATTAAATCATGAAGTGAAGGTTGCAGATTAGAAGTCAAGTAACCAGGAGGTTTATCAAGTTTAAAATTTGATCAAAAAGTAATCAGGGGGTTAATGTAAAATCCAGAGTACTCAGTTCAGGGTGCAAAAAAAAACTGATGTTCCTAATTCAATAATTCATAAAATCAAAAAGAGATATGGCTACAAAACATACAGACAGAAAAATATCTTTGAAAGATTGCAATGACTATTCATCAAATGCCAAAAACACCGTTAAAACAGCTACAAGATATGCTTATAGAAAATCAAAAGTGCACTATAATATATGATGAAACCTGCTTCAAACTAAAATGTTTAAAGCTCTCAGGCCAGGAATCCTGAATGAAATGAAACCATAAACTTTCTTTCCAAAGATTTTCTCTCAGCCATTTTTAACAAACAGAACTATGAACTCCAAGTTGATTTAAAAAAATGTTTAAAAATAAAACTCATATTATGTTTCAAATGCATGATGATTCAGTCATTTTCTGCCCTGATTTTGTATCTTACCATTACTCAATAAGTACAACCGAATAATACCAACAAAACAGTTTAATTTGATTTCAAAAAACATGAATCCAGAAAACATGCCACAATTTTGTCCAACTCAAAATTTTCAGACAAACATGAAACATAGGCTGTGTAAAAGGAGAAAAAAAAATGACAGACATCAATCCTGTTGAATATAGGGCATGTGCATCACAAAATTTTATGAAAACTATCACCCAAAAGCTTATGCAAGGTGTCCATATTATTCTGATAAATTATTTTGATTAGCCTGAAGATTTTTTAAAAAAAAAATTATTGTAATTGGAAATAAATTTGCATTACAAAATTAAAAAATCAAAACCAATCAAATGGTTCTCGAAATATTTTCTAAAATTTCATGAACTATGGTAATTTCTGACAGTTCCATATTAGGGTGTGTCATACTTTGGTCAAAACTCAAAAATTCATATTTACCAGTGGCATTTTTTAAATAAGGGTGAGGTTTAACATATGAAACTTAGAAATATCAAAAAATTTGAATTTAAATGAGTTTAAGCTACCAGGGAACTGCCTTGAAAATTGCCGAAAAGTGTGAATTTTTGATATTTTTATACTTTCAGGGTCATTTTCAATATTTTAGACTTATATCTGTTTTACAACAACCTTATCTTAAGAAATTAGGAATAAGGAAAGGAAGATAAGAAAGCAGGATAAGTAAAATTCATTTAATAGTTATACTGTTTCAGAAATTTTTATGAATACTTAAAATTTTTTTTTTTTTTAAAGTTTTGTGGCGTTAATTTACATCTCTTCCCCCAATTTTTATTTTTGATTATGAAAATTTTATGCTGATTAAGAATCGTATAAAAACATAGCTCTGAAAATTGAAGCAAAGTACTCTAATTTGATGTTGAAGTTTAAAAATTACACTAAAAACGCTATTATTCACCATTATTTTTGTACTCTGTTATGATTAAAATTCATTCAAAAGTAAACTTTGAAAATAACATAACCTGGTTTTTATTGTCAACAAAAAACGAAACTGTTTTTTAGTAGCTACTGATTTTTAGAGATAGGCAAGGGCTTCAAGGAAGAATATTGGTATAAATTGATACCTGCCCCAACCCTGACCCTTCGATGTGTTATCAACTCTCTTGCGAGTTCTCCCTAAATTAGTCGATGTATGTACTGAAGCCCTCGCCTATCCCTAAATCAGTAACTAAGGGCAAGAGAGCAAAAGTTAACAAACAGAATTTTATGCCACTATTCTGCAACATTACCTTTAAAAGTTTAATTAATTTTTTAAATATAAAGAATAATTTATGTAAAAAAAAAAGTTTATTTTTTAATTATAATTAATAATTGTACTTTTTTTAAACTATGTAAATTTTAGTATCGATGAAAATAAAAACCGGGTTGCGTAATTTAAAATAAGATTTATAAAAAAGCGTTTAGTTGCATTTAAAAAAGATAGCGAATATTAGCGTTTTTCGTGTAATATTGTAAACTTCAAGATCTAATTAGAGTAATTTGCTTGAGTTTTCAGAGCTATGTTTTTATACGATTTATAATCAGCATAAAGTTCTCATAATCAAAAATAAAAATAGGGGGTAGAGATGTAGTTTTGTATGTAATTTAAGTTATACATTTTAATTGATGGTTCTAAATGGCTACACAGAAAACATCATTCTAAAGTTTTTTGTTTTAATATTTGTTATGCAAGTTATACATATATATATATATATATATATATATATATATATATATATATATATATATATATATATATATATATATATATATATGTATATATATATATATATATATATATATATATATGTATATATATATATATATATATATATATATATATATATATATATATATATATAATTTTCAAAATTACTAGATACAATGTATAATTAAATTTAAAATGGCTGCTGGAACAAGATGGAAAAATGATTCTTGTCTACGCCAATATTTGGGATCTGGAAAAGAGTTGCCAACACTGAGAGATGTCCTAAGATATGGTATTTTTTAAAGAGAAACAAGCAAACTAAATAGAAGAAACTATAGTATTTCTGATTTGATCCAGGATATTTATAATAAACTTTCAGAAAAATGGCAAATGGCCAGTGTTTTATTTGTGCCTCCCGTAATTAGTTTAAAACATAATTTGGTAACTGGTTGGGATGGAGGAGTAATGCACTTTATGGAGCTGAAATTAGGGCGAAAGTTAAATTGGATTGTCTGCGCTCTACATACCAATGAATTACCACTCAAACGTTTAATTAAATTGTTAGACGGAGAATCTAAAAGCGGTACAAAATGGAGTGGACCCATTGGAAGCTTACTTGATGAAGCAACCAATCTTGAAATTAACCCTTTTTTTAGTAGAGTGGAAACTGGTGAGCCTCTAATTAACTTGAGTAATGATGTGGTTAAAGACCTTTCAACAGATCAGTATTATGGCTATCAAATAGTTAAAGCTATACGCAGTGGTCATGTTCCTCAGCAACTAGGACTTCTGGAAATTGGCCCTGTTAACATGGCCAGATGGCTAACAACAGCCAATAGAATATGTAGAATTTGGGTATCTCATCATGGTCTTCAAGACGATGCAGCCCAAAACCTTCTTAAACTAGTTGAGTTTATTGTAGGAGTGTACTTTCCTGTCTGGTTTAACATCAAAGTTAAATATAGTTGGACAGAAGGACCAAAACATGTTCTTTACCAGCTTAAGTTGCTTCAACACCAGTCACTCGATATTCAAAATATGGTCATTCCAACTATTAGGCGATCTGCTTGGTATGCCTTCTCTGAATCTATTCTTCAAACTATGCTTTGTTCTGAAAATAAAGAGGAGAGAGATTTCAGTGTAAACAAAATTCTTGAAATAAGAGGAGAAGGTGATGAAAATGTACAACTTGGAGATCTATCTGTTAGACCAAGAAGGACACCAGATATCAATACTAAAGCAATTTGTCTCAAGGACCTTATTGATTGGAATGAAGCTTTTGAACCACCTTTGACTTGTTGCTTGACAACTAAAGACATCAAAGAGTATTTTTTTAAACCAATGATTGTACCAAACTGGTGTTGCCACACTCAAGCTGTCGAAAGATGTGTAAAAAAAGTTACTCAGGCTTGCGAAAATGTTTTTACAGAAGATAGAAGAGATGGTTGGATTAAAGGACAAGAGTTGTCACAGAAGTTGATGTCACGAAATCTATCTAAACAAAACCTTATTGGCTTGACAATATTTAAGAATTACTCTTTATTGTACTTTATTTTAATGTGCCAGTAGATGTTTTGTGGATCTATATGAATGTTTTATTTTTAATTCTAAAACAACCTAATTTTACAGTTTTAGTGGGAGGTAGTGGGAGGGGGGCAAACCACTCTAGTTGTTTTTATACAAATAGTTTTATTTTTTTTAAATAGAGATGACGTTTTTTGCGTTTTGTAAGTTTTTTTTTAAAAATATTTCAATTTTTTAAGTTCATACCTCCCCCTCCCCCAGGGTTTTTGGTAAAATAGTGTCTCTGGTTCCCTGGTAGCTAAAACTTTTTTTGTTTTGTTTTTGTTGACGGTTCTAAACTTGTAATATTATACCTCATCCTTTTTTAAATTATGCGAGTCAAAATTCAAAAAAAAAAAAGTATGACACACCCTATTCCATATTCATCATTCATCCAATTTAATAACCCTACAATACAACTTGTTTATATTTTTCTTTACTAAACAGTATGAAAAATACATTTTAAAATTTATAAAACAACCAATATCAAAATATTAGTAATTAATTTCAAAATTATAATAACCTCTGGATTACATCATTACATAATAGAAAGAACACTCTATATAAGCAACCTCTCTCTGTAAGCAACATTCTTTATAAGCAACCTCTATACAAGCAACTTTTTTTAGTTCAACTGTTCTGTATAAGCAACTTATTTTTTTAAAGCTAAATATTTGAGTTATATTTAGGCTAATTCAGAAGTAAAACCAGCTGTTCTTATAAGCATAACGTCAAATTATAAAAAGTTCTGTTATGCCATGCATAAATTAAATTTGCAGGTATGCATAAATTAAATTTGATGATGAGAGGGAAATTAAAATCTCTTTGTTGCTTCAAAAGTATGAATTTGCCAGTATATTACAAATCATATAAAAATGCTTGACAAACTTATACACTTTTTAACAACTGATATTAAAATATATTCATAAACTTTTTAATGACTGGTATAATGATATATGGATAACTTCAGTAACTCGACACTTGCAAACTAAAAATCTTCTTGTAAAAGCCCTTCTCTCAATAGATAGTGCAACTTGCTATTAGCCTGATAATAATTTTACTGATAACCCGATTTTTAAAGTTATGTCACCCCCCCCCCCCCCCTAATAACACATAATAATAACATACCATTATTGCAACCACTAGATCAAAATATGATAAAATCACTAAAACAACGCTATCACAAACATCTACTTGGATGTCTTGGAGCCATAGATGCAGAAGATGGAATAGTTTAGGAACTGAAAAGTATAAATTTGAAAGATGTTATTTATTTAGTGGTGCAGACATGATATGAAATTCTCATGTCAGTTATACAAAATTCATTTAAACATCTTTTTTTGTCAAGTGATGAAATTCAATACAACATTCTTTCCAATCACTTTTCAGAAGAAGATGATATTCCCTTAGCAAGAATTTTTAATTCGATATTCATTTATTGTAATTTAGCAGATACTGAAATTATGGAGTGGGCAAGTGAAACAAGCAAAGCAAATCATCCGTTTAACCTTAAATTATGAAGTAGAAAGTGACACTAGTCCTGTTAAAGAAAATGAAAAAACGTTGGATGACTTCAATAAAATGAGGTTCTTTTGTTACTACAAATAAAAGAAACTGCTATCATGAATAAATATATGTAATTATTTTTGTTTGTTTTGGCAATTAGTCCTGTACTGAACCAAAGATTTATTAAAATTTGAATTTTTTTAATTTTTTTTTTTTTCTAATGAAATTACTAACTACGCTTATTTGATAGTAATAATAAAAAAATATTTTTCTTTGCAAAAAACAAAACTGAATTTATTTACTGTACACAGTTTAGTTAGTAAAAGAAATAAGTAGAAATATTTATTGTTTTCTTTTACTAACTTAACTTAAAGTTTAGTTAGTAAAAGAAATAATGGTAAATATTTTTATACTCTTTTTTTCCCTATAAGCAACTTTTCCCAATAAGAAACTTTTTTATTGAAATTGGTTCAAATAAATTGCTTATATAGAGCATTCACTGTAATAATATTATTTAAAAAGTAATATTTGCCAAAAATAAATCACCAAAACAACTTTACCAATTTACATGCAAGTTTTGGATAAAAGTTTAACCTTCGTGTTGCATTCACAAAAAAAAAATCAAACTATTATCAAAAATTCAAAATAGTATTAATTTTTATTTTCATCTTCATTTATCATAATGACATATTAATATTTATGTTGTAAAGAATGTTTTAATTATTATAATAAGTCTAAACAAATTTAATAGTAAATTAATATAAATTAAATAAATCAAAATACATCTTTAGAAGGAAGTTTGTTAAACATCTCACAAATAGGCCTGTCATTCTCATCAAGAATTGTGCATAAATAATCTACAATTTCTTTGTAAACACCTATCGAGTTCAAATCTAAAAAGATAACATTTTGCCCATGAAAACTTGATATAAAAGTAAATAATAAATTAAGGAAAGTAGAAAAAAAAAAGAAATTTTATAATTTTCATTTACACATAGTTATAAATATAAATTCAGTTATTTATCTATTCATAATTAAACATATAATTAAATTTAAACTTAAACAATTAAAGGATTTAATATACGGTTTCCAAGAAAGATAAAAACTAATCCTAGAAGAAGGGTAGATGACTCATCGAGTATTTTACTATTCATAAATATATGAAAATCTAAATTATTGCGATAACGATTGGCTGAAAAAAAAATTGAATTTTATCTGAATTAAAGTTCACCAGCCACTGTGAGCCCCATGCTGTAGCAAAAGTGAGATCCTTTTCAAGCTCAGATGCCCGTTCCAAACAATCAGAGAGTGTTAGCTTCTTATCATGACAAGAATAAATGGTAGTGTCATCAGTGAACAATGCCACCTTAGATGTGAGAATATCTGAAGATCGTTAATATAAATTAAAAAGAGTATGTGACTATTGGAGTCTTTATAAATTAAATGAAGATAAACATCAACACTAAGATCACAAGATGAAACAGATGAACTAAAATTAGTCTCATAAAGAGCAAGTAGGTCTGGTGATTTTACAAGAGATAAGACTCAACAGAAGAAAAATTACTTCAAAGACCATGAATATTAGTGAATGATAGGTTTAGAGAATTTGGTGATGACAATGGTTTTTGTGTTTTATAGTTTTTAGTACTTTAGTCATTTCAAATTTTTTAAAGAACTTGATTTAAAGCATAGATAGTACTCAGTACACTACTTAATAGTGCAAGCAATTACCTCATTACTATTAATAAACCCTAAGACGTAACAAAGAGCTCGAAATGTGGCCTCAACAATGCACACACAAAGTACGAACAGGGGCACCACCCATGCGCAACACAGCACTGTTAGTACTCTGATATTTTTCAGCTGTTGATGGAATCAGCCTCTCTGAGAGCTACCACCAGCCAGCCTCAGAACCATAAAACTGAGTTTTAAAGTTGTACCCTCATTAGGAGATAATAGAATGAGTTGCCTAGTCATAAAAACAGAGGCACAAGCAAAATCCATGCATTGAGTCAAAAAGATCCAGCCTTCAACATCCTAAACTGGAAACAATGTATTAAAAATACATCTGCGCCAGCCTAATAGATGAAGAATTGTTTTATTTATTTTAATTGTAAAAATATCACCAAATTCTATATAACATAAAATGTAAACAGGTGGTAACATAATTGGACTTGTATACATTGGGTTATAAAGATAAGAGCTGAACTTGACCATTAAAAAAAAACCATATTGACAAAAAATATTTGAAAAACAGTAACAGAAAAAAACTAGTTTTACCCTTGCTTTCTTTTTCGTTTCTTCTGACTTCTATATAATTTCAGACAATGTTGTTTTCAGTTTGTTATAAATATATAATGAGTAATAGAGTAAGAAGTATACACTGAAGTGTTTGTGTGTATACAGAAGTGTTTGTGTATACACAGAAGTGTTTGTGTATAAATAGAAGTGTTTGTGTATACACAGAAGTGTTTGTGTATACATAGAAGTGTTTGTGTATAAACAGAAGTGCTTGTGTATACATAGAAGTGTTTGTGTATACACAGAAGTGTTTGTGCATACATAGAAGTGTTTGTGTATACACAGAAGTGTATACATAGAAGTGTTTGTGTATACACAGAAATGTTTGTGTATACACGGAAGTGTTAGTGTGTATACAGAAGTGTTGGTGAATATGTATTTACTTAAGTCAGCACTAAAAAAATTAAAATATGCAAACAATTTTTCAAAAAAACATTTTATTTCAAAAATTCAAAATAATTATAAAACTTGCTACCCAAACTTTAAGTAGTTCTGTTACTGAAGCTATAGAATTTTTACTTGTATCTTGTCACCTTTCATTTTTGGGTTCAGAAGCAAACATTTAGTTTATACATTTCAGAGGAAATGTAAAATGATTCAGTTAAATTGTGTTATGTTTCAGATGAATTGTGGTCAAAATGATTTTAACGACAACCAACAACTTGAAAATCTCAAATATTTTTGAAGACCTTCGCACTAACTAACTTGTTAAAAAAACATGCAGCATATAAGAGTCACTCCATGCCATATGAACTAAAATTTTAGGAGTTCAAAATAGACCACCTCAGATTTTAATGAAATTGGGTTGGTTTATATTAATAAGAAAAGCAATATCTCAAAATCAAAGCATAAAACTTTTAGTGGTTTATGAGATGTTATCATTTGAAATTTCTTATTCTTTCAAAAATAAAAGCTTCACTAGCAAATACATCTTCTAAAAATCTATGAATGGTTGTTCATGGTGTTTTCAAAAAATCTTAAAAGACTAAGTTCTGGTTTATAAGAACCAAAAGACTTATACATTCTTTAAAGTTATAATTTAAAAACGGACTTATAACTTAATTAAAGTGTATACAATTATAATTTCTCACCCAAATCTTCTTCTGGCTCATCCTTAAGAGTTGCCTAAAAACAGTTATTTAGAACAGTATCAAGCAATCAAATACAATACATTTACTAACCTGTTTTTTAAAATAACAACAAAATAAAAACTAACAACATGTTAAACAATGCTTAAAAATAGAAATATTAATGAAACATGAAACCACACCTTTAGGGTGGTTCAAAAACAACATTGTTTTATTGCAACATTTTAATAAGTACGCCTGAATTTTCTTTTCAGTTAACAGGTATACTGAAATATTGAAAGTCAATATTAAAAGTCACTAAATTACTATTATATTTAGATGATTAATTATAAGCGATAAATAATAAAATACGTGTATAAAATAGTTACAATAAAAAAGGTTAGAAAACAGTAAAATTAATTTTATTACTGTTAAAATCTAATAACAGTTGACAATCACACTAAAAAAATTTAAAGTGAAGAGAGAACAACAAATAAATTGAAATAAAATTTTTCATAAACTTTATAATGACCTGGCTATATTAATCACTCTGCTTCTTTTTTCCTCTTAAATAAAACATTTGCTACATTTTCATTCATACTGTTGTTCAATACATTTAGAAGCTATTTTGTTTTTAATGTTTTTATTACTTATCAACAATTCTTTTTTTTTTGTTTTTAAAAAAAAATTGTTCACTATATATAGCATTTAAAAATACAACATGTGACTCTTGTCAACAATTAATGGACGTTATACAAAACATTATAATAATAAAATTATGCAACATGTGACTTTTGTCAATAATTATAAAAGCTTATTATATTTGATAAGTATGCCTTCTTTGATCCATTCATTAATTTCATTGTCAAATGCTTCACAATGTTGGTTAGATACGTTATACTGGCTTGTTCTGTTTTTGATTTTAGGTACGTTCTCTCACTCCCAACTTACAATCTATTTTTTGTCTTCAAAATAAGCTTTGCTTGTTCCAATTTCAATTGCCGCAACACGAGGTGTCGATGATAACTTAATCAAAGAATTACAGAATTTCAATTTTTCAGTGCCAATTTTCAGTTCATCACACGACTTTATTAGATCCATACCCATAATCATATCGTACTTGTTTATTACTTTATCCACACATAACACCAAGGGTGGTGTATTTTAGTCTCTCTCTGAAGGCAAAAACTTGCATTGTTAAGCTGCTTGGATCACTCGGTGCGCAAACACCTGTATCGATTCTTCGTTGTCACAATAAGTTCTCCCAAATTCATACCGTGAGATTAACTATGATTTCCTAATTTCTAACATTTCCAGTTTTGTCACCAACTCTTCGTACAAAACATCCTCTGGCAATTTAGGTGCTGTTAATTTCTCTATGATCTTTAAATCTTTGAGAGAAAAGTAGCAAGCAAGTACGCTACGTATCGATCTGAAGTAATATTGTTAATCACTAAAAAAGAAGTCAACTGCCAAATAAATCGCTTTTGTTTTCCATCTTCATATTGCGGGGATAATAGACACGCCCGGTTAGTTTGTTGTTCAACGCATTAAGAAGCCATTTTGTTTTTAATGTTTTATTACTTATCAACATTCTCAACATTTTTACAAAAAAATTGTTCACTATATATAGCATTTAAAAATACAGCATGTGACTCTTGTCAACAATTAATGGTCATTATACAAAACGTTATAATAAAAACATGCTACGTGTGACTTTTGTCAATAATTAGCAAAGCTAATTATTGACAAAACTTATTGACGCATATTAAAATCACAACATATACAGAGTTCAACTGGAATTTGAAATCACTTCCAGTTACTGAAAGTTTAAATTATGAAGGATTTAAGTTATCAGGAGTTTACTGTAAATAAAAAATAAAACATTTATATTTGATCATTAAGTTTAGAGTAACTATTTTTTTATTTATAAAAGCAAAAAACAAATTATTTAACTTTAGAAACAAAATGAGTATAATCGCTAATACTTAGATCATTTAAAAAAAAAAAAAAATTATATAAAGATTTTTGTTGCTAATCAAAATAGTTTTATAAAACAGTTTATTTGTATTTTAGTAGTTAATGAATATTATTAGCAATAAAAAACAAACAACTTGTTTCATCAAAAATAAATATTTTTTTAAAAGTTGAATTTAAAAAAATATATACTTTTTAATTATTGTCTGCTATTTAATAAAAGTATTGTTTAACTTGAATGGTTAACTTCCTTTAACAAAAGCCTAAAGGTTCAAAATTCTATAAATAATTACGCTTAAAATTTAATATTTAACAGTAACGTAATATATATATATATATATATATATATATATATATATATATATATATATATATATATATATATATATATATATATATATATATATATATATATATATATATATATATATATATAGCTTAAATATGTACAGAAAATATTTTTTTTATTGATTTAAATATTTTTAAATAAATACAGTTATAGCCAGGGGCAGATCCAGGCCATCTAGCAAGAAGGGGGGGGGGGTTCATGGTTTTTTTATTTGGTGGGTCCAGACCATCCAGGAAAGAAGGGGGAATATTTTTTTGATTTGGTGAATCCAGACCAGAGGAGGGAGTGGGCAATTGCAGGTTTAAATCATAAAACTTTTTTAGTTATTTTTTTGGGAACATTAGTTTTGAACTGTTTTAATTTATATAACTATGAAATTATGACATAGTGATATCCCAATTTTTTTTGCATCACACAAATTTATTAAAATTTATCACTTTTAAACAGTCTCTCTAATTTATCAAACAACATGCTTTGTTAATTATAAAATTTATAAAAAAAATACTTCCGTATTATTTAGAGGGGGGAGAGAAGCGATCACCCAATCTATGGATCCGCCCTTGGTTATAACAAGAATAAAGTGGTGTTTATATACCAAAGGTGCTATTAGACTGACTGATATCCTGATATACCAAAATTTCATTTTTAACAATGATTCTTTTTACTGAGATATTTAAAGATTTTGTAAATTTTTCCAATTTAATAATATGATTTAGAAAATTTAAAATTTTTTTGTTACTATAGATCTTTATGAAAATGCCTCTTAACAATTAAGGTTTTATCTATCTTATGATACTAAATCAATACAATAAAAATTTTAAAATAATAACTAAATTATGCAACAATTTGAGAGAGAGAGAGAGAGATATTAAGTTGTAATAAGTTCATAATGTTTATAAATGATTCATAACACTTTAAGTTATAAAATTTTACAAAATCAGGTTAAAACTTTATAAATTATAAAAACTTGTCAAGTAGAAAATTAAAATTAAAATAGCAAATAAATTACTTTTATTATAAAGTTATATTATACTTATACAATATTATACTTATATTATAGTATGTGACAGACTTACTGATCGCAACCTTTTTGATCTATACTCTTCAGAAGACTCGCTATCTTCTCTCAACAACCTTCTTTTAGGTGGCATTTTATTAGATAGTCCACTAAAAAAAAATGCTTATATTTTTAATAATAATAATAATAATAATAATAATAATAATAATAATAGCAATAATAATAATAATAATAATAATAACAACAACAACAATAATAATAATAATAACATATACTTTTATCAATACTTTAAATATAATAATTTTATCTTTAAGCACTTTTTGTGTTACCTAAAGTAATTTATTTTGTTTGCTTATTGCACTGTATTATTTCACCCATGGATTCTTTTTAAACCTAAACGCATATATATGTCAGCTTCAGTACCTACATCAACTATCTTATAGTCTGCTGTTGCATGGGAGTGCTGCTAGATTGACTAGATTGCTGCTAAAGGGTTTAGCATAGAACAGAAATCTTTTTTTTTTCATTATTGAATTAATGAAAGAAAAGATCTCTTTACTGAAATAATGAAAGAAAAGATTACTCCCCTATGCCAAACTCAAGGTTAATGTAGCAGCACTCCCTTGCGGCAATAGGCTATAAGATACTCGATGTAGGTACTAAAGCCAACAAATATTCTTTTATATTTAAAAAATCTCCACTGACGAGAACGCAATTAGCAAAAAAATATAATTATTTTACATACATATAACAGATATAAATTTTATTTAAAAAAATGTATCTGCTATATGTGTGTGTGTGTGTGTATATATATATATATATATATATATATATATATATTATATATATATATATATATATATATTACTTTTACCAATGAGGAGGATAATAAATAACCTTTTTACTAAAGAGGGGGGATTTTATTATATAAGACCTTTTTCTCTTATATTTTATTATAAATTGTTATTTTATTTTAAAAAATGTATGTATAGAGGTCATCATGTGTGTGTGTATGTGTGTGTGTGTGTGTGTGTGTGTGTGTGTGTGTGTGTGTGTGTGTGTGTGTGTGTGTGTGTGTGTGTGTGTGTGTGTGTGTGTGTATTATATTTTGGAATATTCTATTGAAAAATATTAGGCAATGTAAATGTTAGAGTTAGCTTCAGGTTTATTTGGATCATTACGAAGGTGGCAGATAAATTTTTGTAGATGTATTTAAATACATTGTTGATTTTGCAGATCTGGTATTAAATTTGAAAGTGGAATGTGAGTGATTGTTTTTATGTAGACTAAGTGTGATTGGATGGTTAGGTTTATTTAAAATTTGTTTAAGTGTGCTGAGACATACGAAATCAAGATGTTCTTTAATAGGAAGAATACCATAGTAGTTTGCATCATGTGGATCAATACCAGCAGCTTTTAGAAGGCGGTTTTGAAAGACTTGCATCCTAGATTTAGTTTTATTGGTCATTGAGGTTAGGATAACTGCATTGCAAGTAAAGTGGTTAAGTCAATAAGCGTGATAGGCAGATATAAGCATGGGTTGAGACCATCCACCAAATATTCGGAGCTGCTTAAAAAGACACTCATTAGGGGCAATTTTTTTATGTAGACTAGACCATTGCTTGTCAAAATTGAGACTTGAGTTAAGGTTGATGCCAAGGTATTAGTACGAGTTTACAACATCAAGAGTTTTTCTTTTTAATGTTATGACTGGCTTTTCACCTCTGCCAATATAAATAACTTTGGCAATGTTGTTTAAATTTGGCAATGTTGAGAAACAATTTATTATAATTGTACCATCGTTGTAGACTAATTGTACCATCTGCCAACTCTTGTGGAAGGGAAGAGTTATTACCAGTTATGTAAGCTAGGATATCATCTGCATATTTCTTGTGTGTAATGGGAGGTAGTCGTTTATATCTAGTACATAGATTAAAAAGAGGACCGGGCCAAGGACACATCCTTGTATCACTCCTTATAAAACATCTTTCCATTCAGTAGGCTTACTGTTGAATATAACATGTTGTTTACGGTTTGAAAGCCACTTTGCAATCCATTTCAAGTTTTTGCACAAGGATAATGTGGTCAACGAGGTTGAATGCTTTTGAAAAATCAAAGAATATAGCAGTTAATGAGGTATTGCGGTCAATAGCGTATTGCCAGTCATCAATTACTTGTATAATGGCATTAATTGTGTTTCTACCAGGAAGAAAACCAAATTGGCTATTTGATAATAATTTGTCTTGAACATACGATATAATATGTTTTGTAACGATGCGTTCAACTATTTTGCATGTTGCAGATGTTATAGAGATCGGTCAGTAGTCAGTTAGTAGAGAAAGATTACTGACTTTTTGAATAGACATGATGTTTGCATAAAGCCATTCAGACGGCACAATTCATTTGTTGATACAATGGTTAAAACTTATAAAAAAGACTTCAACTAGTTCAGGACATAGCATAGAGTAGTTTGCCAGATATGCTGTCATGACCCGCTGGTGTCAATTTGATGGGTTTGAGTTGTTCACTGACGTTAGTGAGGGTGAAAATAGGCAATTCTAGTGGAGAGGCGATTGTTTTGAAAAAAGGTGATAAATCTGGCTTAATGATTCCTTGCCAAACTATATCTGAAAGTCGAGCAATAATACCAGCCATGGTGTTATCTTGGTCATAAAAACCAGCTTGGTGTAAACATTGGCGTTATTTTATGCAACAAAGGATATCTGCAGTCATTCATTCTTGGTCACCGCATACTTTAATTGTATGTAGAGGCTGATATATATTTTGTGCATTAATTATAGGGTTCAGGAATACTAAGAATGATCCAAGTGGGTCAGAGTCAAGGTTTGCTAGGATACTATACATGTCAAGTAGTCGTATGGCAGCAACTTTATCTCTAATCTTTCCTAATCGTATTTGGATGCGTTTAGATTTAGGTCAAGTATTTTTATACATGACCTAAATCTAAACGCATCTAAACGCAGAAATGCCAGTTATCACAATGTTGTCATGGCTTTTTTCCCCCAATATATATTGGGGGAAAAAAGCCATGACAACATTGTGATAACTGGCATTTCTGGAATTCATAGTTAATAAGAGATTAGCTTTAGAATCTTGATCAATTGGAGAATCAGATTCGCCCATTAGTTTTAGAGTTTCGGAAATATAACACCTAGGAGCATTTGCTAGTATAATGTCAAGAAAAGACAATTAAGATGCTGTTACTTGGGTCATGGTTTATTTGCCATAAGTGGTACTTCTTGCATAGTGGCTTGACATCGCTTCCATTAAAGTCACCAGCTATGCTAATTAGTGGTATATATATATATATATATATATATATATATATATATATATATATATATATATATATATATATATATATACATATATATATATATATATATATATATATATATATATATATATATATATATATATATATACACACACACATATATATATATACATATATATATACATATATATATATATATATATATATATATATATATATATATATATATATATATATATACATATATATATACATATATATATATATATATATATATATATATATATATATATATATATATGTATGTATGTATGAATGTATACACACACATACATACTTACAAACAACAGATATATATATATATATATATATATATATATATATATATATATATATATATATATATATATATATATATATATATATATATATATATAAATATATATATACATATATATATATATATATATATATATATATATATATATATATATATATATATATATATATATATATATATATATATATATATATATATAATGTTAAGAGAGATATAATAAGATGATGGACTAGATAAAAAAAATACATACATAAAGAAATTAGGCTTCTATATTATAAATAATTTTTAAAACTTATAATAATTGTTAATATTTGAAACTTTAAAAAACATAAGAAATATATATAGTTTAGGATTTTAATTTTATTAGGCTTTTACATAATAAATATTTCTAAATACATAACATAATAAATTAAATAATAAATATTTATAAAATAAAGAATTCTTTTTCAAAAAAAAAAACATAATAAAATGTATGATATATTTGTATTTTTGAACAAAAATTATTTCATAGTTTAATTTACTTTTATTTTTTTAAATCTTTTTTTAAATTTTAATTTCTATAATTATAAAGAAAAGATAAAAGTTCATTTAAACTAAAATGAAAACTCAATTATAAAACCATTTGTGCAGATTAAGCACACCTAATATGCTTTGAACAACTATCATAGCTGAATTTTAAATAAAAAAATTGTTTATATTTAAATAACGTGGATGCTTCAAAACTGCCGCAAGTTTATCAATGAAAATGAATGAAAATCGAAAATTTCGCGCTTTAATTTATAGACTATAAAACGCAAGACCTTAATTTAGAGACTTAGGTGACTGAAAGGTCCAAATTGATCGGCCATAATAAAAACAAATTTAAAGTTTTGAATATACCAGACCTTCTAATAAAAAATCTGCTGATATCTCTCCGTTTTTATCCTGCTTTTGTTTTTAAAGTAATAAAGACACAAACTTTATATAACAGAAATATAACAATACACTGATAATATAAAAATAACGAAAAAGTAAAAAGAAAAGTAAACGAAGTAAAGTAAAAATGAAAAGTAAACAAAAGCATTTAGATTGCATTTGATTGACAAAAAATAAAAAAAAGCGCAAACAAGCAGTTAGTTTATTTTTAAATTTTGTGTTTCACAAAAACAAAATTTAAATAACTCGGTTAATAAATATTTCTTTATAGTTCGATGACATAGAGATCAATATCAATGATTCCAAAGAGTCGCAAGATATCTGGGAATCTTGGAGACATTAAGGATTCTTATGGAAATCAGTTAGATTTTTAAGTTGTTTATCACAGTGACCAACAAATATATAAAAGTGATCTTGATACACAAACTAAACCAATCCTGCTCATGGAAATCAAGCTAGACCAATCCTGCTCATGGAAGTCAGACACTGATCGAATAACAATAATATTGATGGGAATCTTTTCAAATCCTTGAAGTTTTCCAAGAAACCAAAAAGTTCTTAAATTTGTTCCATCTTTATAGAGGAACAACAGAACGGAGACTAGGTTAGTGGTTGACTTGTTTAAAATAAGACTTGTTTGTTGAGAAGAGAATGCAAAAAAAAAAAATACCTGAAACTGCGTGCTATAACCACGATAAAATGCCCAAACGCTTTGAATGTAATGTGTTCAGTATTGTACTGGACAATCAAGATTTATAGTAATTCAAGAAAGCTAAAAAGCTCTAGCTTTTTAGCTTTCTTGAATTACTATAAATCTAGATTGAAAAACCTGTTGAATTTCTGAATATATCTTATGAAAAGGGAATTCATTCACTATTTCTTTAAGTGTGTGTTTCACTTAGAATCTTTCTTACCTTGCTTGTAAAGGAGAAAAATCTTTTAGCAAGTTGGCTTTGATTTAGGATTATTTTTAATCCCCAACTGATCAGGGGAGGTGAATTAATACCCAACTGGCCTTGGGGAGGTGAATTAACATATATATATATATATATATATATATATATATATATATATATATATATATATATATATATATATATATATATATATATATATATATATATATATATATATATATATATATATATATATATATATATATATATATATATATATATATATATATATATATATATATATATATATATATATATATATATAAATTGTTAAGTGAGGTTATAGGTTGGATTTGAATTTGGAAAACAGCAACATAAATGAACATTTACTAGAGTTTCCCGTTTAAAACTGTAGTCAAAGTTAGCTTTCTAATTACACCAAGTAACAGTATTAAAATTGAAAGACCTTGTTCAACAAGGTCTGAGAGGATGCAGTTCTTGTTATGAAAAATAATTATGCTGATATTATAAAAGTTTTTACAACCCTATGGGCATTTGTTTTTTAAAATTACGTTCTAAATGTCTTTTAAACATTTTTCAAATGTCTTATAAACATTCTTTACGTAAGAATATCTAGAAGACGTTTAAAAGACATTTAAAATACATTTAGAACCTAACTTTTAAAAACAAATGCCCGCTGGAAATATTTGTAGTAAGTCATATCAAGTTAAATAAAATATATTCTTAATAAATTTGTTACATCAAGTTAATACAAGTAGTAATAGTAGTAATTATACTAATAACAACAGTAATATGACAAAAAACAATAGCATAACAACTAAAATAGTTATAACAGTAAAACAACAGTAATAATAATACTACATCATAACAAGACGATGACGAAGAACGACGTCATACCCAGCAAATTTACAATGCTTGATCTATGCATGGCCCAACATCGGCGTCTTTACTGGCCCACCATCGGCCGACAAGCATGGTCCAATTCAAATCTGATGACCATGCCTTAAAAGGTGAGCAAGACTTTAAACATTTAATTTTTTAATTTAAGTTTTTAATGGTTTAAGCATTTAAGTTTTTTGAACGGCGTTAGCCAATGCTTTGCCTTTTTTTATGTTACTTTCGGTTCATTTTGTTTGTTCTCAACATTTATTGCTATTTTTATAAATAACTAATAAGTTTGTTTCGTAGGTCTTCGTGTCCCCCGGCGTCGTTGGCTATGAAAATACAGAAAATGTACTAATGATATGCTTATGATAATTCTAAATTCAAAAGCAGTTATTTAAAAAAAAAAGTTTTTTAAAACAACATTTTGCAAAATTTACGGACTAGAGTTTGTTATGAGTATTTATTTATTTAAAAAAACGTAACAAACATATAAGGTACTAATTAAAGGAGTTTTAAATTTAGAAATTTTAATAACTTATCAAAATTAAAAAAAGTAATTAAAAAATGGTAATTAAAAAATTTAATTTTCTAAAATTATTTTATTCAAGGGCCCTTTATGCTACTCACAGTGTCACAAAACGCAAATTAATTGTTCCTAAAAACTTTTGAGTATGGTAGTACACAAATAGTTGATCACATTAGTGTATATCCCAAAATCAGATTATGACGTCTGCAAGAGAAAAATTGATTTTCACTTTTTTATTAAAAATCATTATTTTCAAGTTTGATTTTTTTTATCTCGGAGTTTAAAAAAAAAGTCTACATGTGACTGCTTGGTTTGTTGCATTAGAATGACTAAACACTTAGAATTTATTGAATGTTGCCACAAAAGACAATGTTGCAGTTGAAAGAATAGTTGCTTTGGTGATTTCAAACAGGACTCTTTTACCTCATGGGTTTGTAAGACTGAATCAAGGAAAAGGAAAACGTCTTTCTGTGGTTCCAAGTAATTTATTTTTTAAGTTTATAATTTTTAAAGTTAAAAATTTATGAATATTTAAAAAGAGTTAATTAAAACTTTAAAAAGTCTGTAACAAAAAATTTACCAAAGAAAAATACAAAAACTTTACTAAATTTTTTTTTCAAAATCTTCCAAGATTAGAGAATTATTTCCGACTGCATGCGCTTTAACTGATCAAAATCATCTTGTTGTTCAAAGCCAAATTGGATTGTCTAATTGTGGTGTAAACAAACTTGCATCAACCGTAAAACTTCACAGGGAATCGTGGAAAAAAATGCCAATTGAAAACGTTATTGGTGGAATAATTTTTTTTCAGCCTCAACCATTGTTTAATCTACAACAATATAGCTTAAAATTTATATTATTAAAAAACTTCATTTAATCTATAATATTGAAAAACATTGTTTAATCAATAACCATATAGCTTAAAGTTTACATTATTAAAAAACTTAAACTATCTGATTATATTATTAGTATTGATTGAAACACTCAGTAAATTCAATGTAGTAGTTAATAGTTGCTTTAGAAATATTATTTAACATAACTACTCTTTAAAGATTGCTGAGTTCAGATGATCTTCCAAATCTGGATCTTCCAAACACAACTGTCACCCCAAAAGCACATTCCGTTATTTTCCATGGTGATTAATTTATTGCCTGTCATACCCGCTCATTTGGGATGTATTTAGAGCAAGCAACTAAACCAATGCATCACAACTTCAGCATTCATTAATAATGCTACAAAAGAGCAAATGGCCATCCAAACTATTAAACAAAAACTGATGAGCTGCTTGATTGACTTACAACAGCAAGCAAGCATTTAAAACAGTTGATTGTGCATCAGAATACCTTAATATTTTGAGTTATAATGTAAATTTAGAATTTATTATTTTCTTAAATATATTTGTTTTTATCTTCTTAGGTTTAATGTTTTTGGAGTATTAATAAAACATTCAAACAAAAAAGTATCTATTTTTTCTTCTACCATTAATAAAAGCTAATTTTTGCACACATAAAAAATAATTAAAAAAAAAAATTTTTTTATAAAAAATATGTTAAGAACAATTTATATATAAAAATTATTTTGTTTAGGTTTCAGTATTCTTTACCAATAATCTTCTATTTTGAATAAATTGAACTAGAGCATTTTTTTTTTTTAACAACTTTTATTTTAGGTGTCCCAAGAAATCATTACGGTCTTATCACAAAGCACTGCAGACGAGCATTTAATCGGAAATTGACGCCTACTTCCGAACCGATGTTGCAAAAATTGGGGTTTGAATCACGGATCCTTTATTTAAGATGCAAATGCGCAGCCTCTGCGCCAACCTCTGCAGTGGTGGCCTCTGTGCCATCACTGCTCTAGAGCATTAAAGCCTTTTTTTTTTTAAAGCAGAGTTGTATATTATTTTTGTCTTTAGAAACATTAATTTTCATATTTAAAAATTTGAGCAGCCGAGGTGCAGTGGTAGCGCACTTGCCTCAGAAACATTGGATCCCTGGTTCAAACCCCACCTCTGGTAACATCGGTTAGGAAGGAGGCGTGAACTTCCAATTAAATGCCCATCCGCGGTGCTCTGTAATAAGACCGTAATGAATTCTTGAGGCACCTAAAAAAAAATTAAAAAAACAACAAAAAAACCCGACTTTTTACACACGGACAAAATATTCTAGCTTTGGAATTTATACCAATGTAACCGCCTATTTTTAATGTTCTTTTTAGGCATTTTACTTTATGGTTTAGATTACTAAACCATAAAGTAAAATGCCTAAAAACTTTGTAGAGCCATTGGTTGAAACAGTGAGCAAATTTACGGTGCTTCCTTTTTTTGTTGTTGTTGTTGTAATTTTTTTTTTAAGTAGAAATTTTTTTAAAAATTTCTACTTTAAAATTTTTAATTTAAAAATTAAACTATCAAAATAATATTTCATTTTTCTTTTAAAAAAACAAGTGCTGTGTCCATTCGTCCACTCTATGAGATTGGCCTAACATACGCCAACAAGTTGTACACGTGATCGTGTTTTTTGTATCTTCAATGCGCATTCAAACAAAAATTGACTCTTGCTTTTTTAAATGCAATGTCTTCTTTAAGATACTATTTGAATGTTTTAATTATTTTAAATGTTTGTTAAAATAAGTAATTAGTAGTTTTTGTTCGATAAATTGTTTTTATTCCGTTTTTTATTATTTAGGTCAGTTTTTTATACTTTGAATTTCAGTTTTAGTAATATAGCCAACTCTGACGATTGATTAGCACTTCAGAATTTTCGAGCATCATTCTTTCGCGGAGAGTTGATATAGCTGGTGACGTGTGGACGTTGTAGCAAATAATATATTACTTGACACGATATTGTCCAATTTACTATGTCGACATGCTACAAATGTGGAAACGAAGGTCACTATGCTAGAAATTGCACAGAACCATCTAGTACTGAAACTTCACAAAAATCTGGTGAGATTTTATTAATGAGACCGTTAAATTAAAAATAATAATTGAATCTGAACCTTTTTAATCAGTTTTGAATTATTTTTGTTTGTTTCTGGCTTTAATAATGTTTTAAAAAAATATTTTATCATCAATTAGATTGCGAATTTTTGTTGTTGTTACGAACTATCGTTATTGTTTCAAATTTATGATAATTGAAATGACTTCTTATAAATTGATATTGAATAAAATTATCGCTATATTAAACTCTCTAAAATATATTTAAAACTTTCTTGTGTTTGTTTAAATATAAAAATATTGTTGTAAATATGAATAAGTTATAAAGTTGTTTTTATATCCAAGTTAAAATATTTGCCAATATTAATTATCTTTACTTGACTTTCGCCATTATTTAAAGGTTAAAGTTTAGAAAGATAAAGCCTTAGTATATTGTGACAAATTAAAGTACTATTTTTCCATAGTTTTTTTTAATTTTTATTCCTTTTTTTCCTCAAAGTTAACATTATTTGGTAATAATTTTATATAGTTATATTCACCATTTCATACTCATAGCATAAGTATGAGAAAAAAGTTTATATCATTTTAAAGAATTCTCTTTATATAGAAAAATGTTTAGTATGACCATTGCTCTAATTGCTATCATCACAGTAAGGTGAATAAAATAATAGATAATTAGGCTGCAGCTGAAAAGAAAAAAGTTTATAGATTTAGTGAAACTTTCTTAACTTTCTATAGCTAAATCATATCTTATCTGGAGCATTTATAGTTTCAATTAAACATTTTAATTAAGAAAAATAAACAAATCAAATAATAACTTTTTTTCTAACAAATTAACAGTATTAACTTTTATTTACAAATAAAACCAGAAGTTTTTTAAACAATAATAAAGATTTTATGTAGTAAAATCATAATAATTTGCATGACTGATATAATATACTAGTATGATATAACTCTTTTGTGCTCATTGCTCTTTTTTAATATAGCAATTATTTTTCAAACAAGTATTTAATTTTCTAGATAAAGAATGTTATCGATGTGGTGAAGTTGGTCACTTATCACGTGATTGTTCTAAGTCTAGCTCTGGTGGTGGTAGTGGAAATTTTGATTCTCGTACCTGCTACAGTTGCGGTAGAAGCGGCCATATTTCAAGAGATTGTACTCAGCGCGGTGGGCGTAAAGGAAAACAGCGATGTTATCGATGTGGCAAAGATGGCCATTTTGCTAGAGATTGTGAAGGTGAAGAGGAAATGTGTTATACCTGTGGTAAGGCCGGACACATTAAGAAGGATTGCCCAGAAAGTGAATCTTTCACTTCTTCTACCAATGAACAGGTCTGCTACCATTGTAACAAACCAGGTCATTTTGCAAGAGAATGCGCTGAAAAAGATGATTCAAGTCGTGAACGTGATGTAACATGTTACAAATGTAATGAAAAAGGTCATTTTGCTCGTGATTGTCATAATAAAAGTAATGATAAAAAGAATGGTAATACATGTTTCAAATGCCACCAAGTTGGTCATTTTGCTCGTGATTGCACAGAAGCTGAAGACGACAGCTAAATTTAAAAAGAACGTCGCTGGCTGGTTTAATCTGTGTTCCGATTGCATTGTTACATAATAGAAGAATAGAATGACTCTAAGTTGGTCATTGATGATTCGGTGTTTGAAAAATAGATTCTGAGTTTCTGTGGTGATGATGCTTATTTTTTACTAAGATTATTAGAGAGAGATAAGTGATTTGATGTGTTCATTTGTATTTGTAAAGATACTAATGAATATAAGCCTGAAAAAAGTGAGTGAAAAAAGGTAGCCATAATCTTCACTGTGTTGAAAATATTAGTGTTACCAGAGTTGTAAGATGTTGAATTTTTAGCTTGGCATGATATAAATTAGCAGACATGAAGTATTTGAGATATTGAATTGTTTGTTTTCCTAAAAGCTTTTTGATTCTTCTTTCTATTTATTTTAAATTGATTAGAGTTTTATAATTTTTTAAGGGAGTGATGAGGACATTGTCAGCGGTGTTAATATGAAAACTTGAATTAAACAAAGTTCTAACTGAAATTTATTTCTTTATGTGTTAAATTATTTCATTTTTGACGTTGTATTACAATTTGTATTAAGTTATTTCTATTTAACAAACTGAGACTAAGATTTTAGTTTTAGTTGATGCGACGATTGTCCATCAAAGGAGCATGTGCTTATACCTTGTAAAAAAATTTATTCGAATATGTCCTTTTTTCGTAAATGTACAAACTAAGTATACTACCGGAAACCCTGCGGAAGTTAGGGTCGTGTCAAAAAAATTGCTGCTCAAAATTAGTAATTAGCGGTTCAAATTTCGATCATTATTTATGATATAAATATCAGTTAAAAGGCGGATTTCCACTTATCGAAATTTTTCCGCGGAACGGGTAGAGTTTATGTAAGAACCAATATAATAAATATTGCGATTGAAGGATTTTCTTATTTGTTTCGCAGAAAATCTTTTTCGCTGGAAGTCTATCTTGTATAATGTTAAAGTAAAGAAAATTCTATACTGGTAAAGGGATCTCAAAACGTTAGGTGTTTTTAAGATCCTGCTAATCTCCAAATATTTGAGCATATACTTTGATTTTACTTCGGAGAGTTAAAAAAGTACTCCTGCAAAGTTGCCAAAGAGTTTTAATTTTAAAATGTAGTTTTCATGTCTTAAATATTTAGGACATTTTCATTAGGGATCTCAAAATGTCAGGTTAAATAATAAAAAGCATTGTTGTCAATACTGCTTAGGTAATCGTGAATTTCTGCGTATTTATATTTAACATTTAATATATTTTTAAATATTCGGTTTATTTATCCTTTACACTTAACACTCCACCACACAATGCTAGGTTAAGGGGCCTCAAAACGCTAGGTAAGTGTAAGTCAATTAAAAAAATAAAGATTCAATTTTTCTCGAAGTTATGAAATGAATACTCTGCTTATAGTTTCATCATGAAATCTCCTTCAAAACACGCTTTAGTACGTTTTCTTTGTTGTTTTTTTACACAAATAAATTAACCCAAAGTGAGTTCACTAAAGTAGAGTGCAAGTACAAAAGTTTTGATATTCCTTTGCAGCAGAAAATAAATACAAAATGGAAAAGTTCTTTAGAAAATCAAGATGCAATGTTCTAAGAGGTATCATAGTGATGAAAAGTAAACAGTTAGACAAAGCGTTGAGTGGTGCCGAATCAACATTAGACGTGGTTGGGCTGCAATCAAGTCAGGAAGATTCCCACTAATTAAAAATCTTGGAACAATTAACAAACGGATTGATAATGCTATTGTATCTGAAAAACAAAATTAAATATTGTTCAGTTTTTAGTGGATGTCAGATAACTAAGCTATCACCAAATGCACAACGAGCAAACAAAATAGCTCAGCAAGTCTTTTTGGAAGCGTTGGGATGCAAGCTATCAAATTATTACCAAAAAGAGAAAAGGAACTGTATCCATAAATCGTGTCCTTGACTGCACAAAAGAAATGGCATGTAACCACCTCAACGAATTAGCTGAAGAACTTATAGAATGTAATATTTTCTTTCATGCAAACCAATTAGAAACAGGTGTATGACAGGGAGATATAGATACCACTAGAATTTATAATCACGAAACTGAATATAAATTAAAATTGATAATGATATATAATGATTAAAATTAAAACAAAAAAAAATATTTATAATGATTAAAATTGAAACCCCCCAGTTTATAAAATATGAAGTTGATGGTACTCCAAATGAGTGTATGCTGTGAAAGGGCAAGTTGTCAAAGACGATAAGAGAAAATAGAGAATGCGAACTCTACATCCTTTTGTTTCCTTTGGAGAAGATATAGCAATGTGCCACATCATATTCAAGAGTAAAGGGATTAGTGCCCACATGGCTCCATAAGAAGCAGTTGTATGAATTCCAAACCCTCTAATCTCCATAAATGACAGTGGCAGTCAGGATCACAGTACACCTTTAAGTGCATATAAAATGTTTGACTACTTTTTTAAAAAAAAACAATATAAAATGGCCTATTGTTGTTCTATCTGATGGTCACTCTTTAAGATTTGGCGTGATATATTGACATTTAAGAAGCAAAAATATTATTTATCACTCCACATAACACAACTGGCGTTACCATGCTACTTGATCAAATCAATCAGAAATTGCACTCTGATTACAAAAGTACTAAATCTGTACTTTATTCTTTGTTTATGAAAATAAACAGAGAAGGTTTTATAAATAAACTTGCAGAGTTAAGGTCAGAGTGGGAATCAAAGCAAATAACAATAAATGCAGGTAAAAAAAGTTGGCATTTCAAGTGGAAGACTCAGTATTAAGTGGATGCGGGAAGATTTTTTACGAGCTGAGTTGTGAATTAATAAAAATACCGAAAAAAAAAAAAAATCAGTAGCAGTAACAATTTTATCTCCAAAAGATTAAAACTGCCAATTGACATACCTCTTCTTGTTATTGACTATATAGTCAATAACAAGATGAGGTATGTTAATTGGCAGTTTATGTTTTTTGACAAGAGGATGGAAAAGAATCCATTTAGTTTTATCAGTGTTAAGAGATAATTTGTTAGTCGTAAACCAGTCAGATATTTTGATTAACTCTATGTTCACGTAATAAAATAGAGTAGGAATGCTTTTGTGTGACATAAATAAATTAGCGTCATCAGCAAACATAATTATTATCAAATCCGAGGTTTTGTATATATCATTAATATAAATAAGGAAAAGAAGCGGTCCTAATATGGATCCTTGAGGAACTCCACATGTAATATTTAGCAAATTTGATGAAAATGTTTCATTGGCGTAAACAGATTGTTTATGATTAGTTATATAACTTTTCAACCATTTTAAAACATTGCCTGTTATACCATAATATTTTAATTTTTTAGCAAGAATTTTATAATCAATGGTATCAAACGCTTACGCGAAATCAAAAAATGTTCCCAATGTGAATTTAGAATTGTTACATGATATACTTCTTGTAAGCTAGCATGCTCTGTTGAACTATTTTTTTTTAAATCCATATTGCATATTATATAATAATTTGTTTGATAAAAGGTGATTGAATATTTTGTTGCACAATTATGAAGAAACAATAGAGGAATGTGATGAGTTAAGCACTGAGACAAACCTAGTTTCTGATATTGATGCTATTGTTGTTAAACTTCGTAAAATTGTTAAAGTCCCCAGTTAAAAATGATGACAATTTTTAGCCTCAAAATATTCAGTCCTTTCGAAAGGAATATTTTTAGATGGTAAAACGCAATGGAAAAGCCTTATTAAAATGCTACAAAGATTTTATGAATTTTTTTTTTTTTGTTTTTTTTTTGTTTGTTTTTTAATTTAACAACTTTGTAATTTAATAAATATTCGTTAACAATGTATATATATATACATGATCGTTATTAAGAAATAAAAGAACGCGGGAACTCGTAGAACACCGTAAGGTCTTGTCGTCGAGAACCGCTAAAAAATTTTCGTGTTAATATTTCGTATTAATAAAATATTCTCAAAATAAATAAACTTTCAATAGGAATATATACTTAACATACTTAAAGATAACAAATAATTAAGAATTAAGAATTGAAAACATGAACAAATTTAAAGAAAAAAATAAAAAGAAAAACGGTTCCGTTATAAATACATAGATGCGTTATACAGTTTTAAGATATCTTTAGCACAATTGTTAAACTTTTTGTTAAAGGTTTTGTTATACAGTTTTAAGATACCTTTAACAAAAGTGTTAAACAACTATTTACAAATTGTTAAATTATAAAATTTATGAATGCAGTGTTGAATATAAAGTTAAAAAAAGAAACAAAAAATTAAAAGAGTATAGATATAACATCTAATAAAAAAATGACTTTTTTAAGTTTTTGTTTGAGAGAGTGATAGCTAACTTCTTGAGAAAAGTCAAAATTCTTTAAAACTATTTTATTCCAAAGTAATGCTCCTCGAAATGAAATACAGTATTTTCCAGAATTAGTTTGATAAGCTGATTGACAAATATTATTATCATTTCGTAAAATGTACTTAGTTTTTTCTTTTTTGTTGTACAAATTATGAAAAGGTAGAGGAGAAATATTGTTTTTACATTTAAACATAAAACATATAACGTTAAAAATATTAAGCTCATATATATTTAAGACTTTCATTTCAATTAATAGAGGCTTGGCATGAGTAAATCGATCCTTAAAATTAATAAGGCGTGCAACATGTTTCTGTTGACGATAAAGAGGTTCCAGTTTACTTTTATTAGTACTACCCCACGCAATATTCGCATAGTTAATGTGACAATGAATGAGCGAATAATATAGTTTAAGTAATGTATGTTTATTTAAAAAACACCTTGCTTTGTACAAAATTCCTATGCTTTTTGATATTTTACTACTCAAATTTTTTATGTGACTTTTCCATGAAAAATTTTCATCAATATTAAATACCAAGAAAGTTTGTAACTGTTACTTTTTTTAGAAGTATATTACCAATAAAAAGCAGTGGCATTTCATTTGGTATTAGATTTTTTTTGTGATTTGGACGGAAAAAAATCCATTTCGTTTTATCAATATTAAGAGACAGTTTATTTGTCTTAAACCAATCAGAAACTCTTACTAGTTCATTATTGATATTCTGAAATAACAATGTAATATCATTATGAGATAAAAATAAGTTCGTGTCATCTGCAAACATAATCGTCATTAAATTTGAGGCTTTATGGAGATCGTTGATGTAAATAAGAAAAAGAAGAGGCCCTAATATTGATCCCTGAGGAACTCCACAGGATATATCAAGCAAGTTTACTGGTGAAACTACATCAACGTATACAAATTGCTTTCGATTATTTAAATAGCTTTTTAACCAATTTAAAACACTTCCGTTTATACCGTAAATCTTTAGTTTATTGAAAGAATATTGTGGTCTATTGTATCGAAAGCTTTAGCTAAGTCAATAAAAACCTCAACTGTATATTGGGAGTTTTCAAAAGAGTTAGTAATACTTCTTGTAAACTGGAGAACTGCGTGTTCTGTCGAGTTATTT